TTCAGCATCTTAGCTGTGGAGGGCAGTGTCACTGGCCCTCATATGTGGGATCCGAACCGGGGCCCTCTGGCATCCCAAGCGAGTTCTTAACCATTGCGCCACTCGGCCGGCCCAGAAAAAGGAATTATTTTAATGTTAGCACAAAGTACTACAGACACTCGCATACTTCCCAAAGAAACCTAAAGTGGTTGTCCACTTTGTATGACAGAAAATGAAATGGCAACAAATTGAAGGCAATAGATGAAGTCCAGAGCATTCATTTCTGTCAGGGCTATGTACACACTTAGTCCTGATAATAAAACAACTATAACTTAGTGCCCCAGCTCCTACTCCATTAATTCCCATTTCTAGAGTATAATTAATTTCCCAAAATAGGATAGATAAAGCCTACATTATCAGGTTAACAGGACTCAGTTCTTCACCTATAAAATACATGGTTGGATTAGATATGCTACAAGGTTCCCTAAGTATCAGAAACCTGTAATTCTATAATTAAAGCTTACAGAAAAGGCAAGTGCTCCCATTTTCCATGTGGAAAAAAAATGCATGGCTCCCTCAGATCATCCAGTCCTGATAATTAACCCCGAAAATATACCAAACTAGAATAAAATTTAAATTTAGATTCGTAGCTTTACAGGGTGAATGAATAGAGAACACATGACACTTTTTGGAAGGATAGAGTGTCATTCCTTGAAATCCAGTCAAGTTCCTTTTCGGGTGAGTGTATTTTTGTGGCAGTAACTGCTCCTGGCTGATTCAGCCGGCCTTTGTTCTGCCCTGAGGCATTCATATGTCTCTTGTGTGGCAGCCATTGAATTTCATTACTGCTCAGTTTCAAGGGTGACATTTCTGACTTCCTTCCAAGTGGCATGGAAAAGGCTCTTTCATGAATGTTTTTTAAGGACTTTAGATACTCTTCACAGAAATTACAGCACATTCATGAACTGAACTCTTCCCCCAGGAAGTTGTAGAACTGCGGGGCAGGGGAGGGGGGTCCCTCTGGAGTTCTGCTGCCATGGTTTCTGTGGAGTGTGGGAGGATTGTGTTAGACAGTGAATATCACACAGTCCGTAAGAAAGCACATTGCAGAAAATGTACAGGCTTTTCATATCCCAGCATAGTCTCTCTCTCTCTCTCTCTCTCTCTCTCTCTCTCTCTCTCTCTCTCTCTCTCTCTTCCCCCCCCCTCAGTATGAGTTCAGGAGCTAGGAAAAGCCATGTGACCAATATAATCACAGTAGGGTACCAATGTGAACTCTGTCCAGCATCCNAACAAATAAGTGTGTTTGAAGCATAAAAAATCAGGGGAGAGGAGTGTGAGGTGCAAAAAGGGGCAGGAGGCAGGGTCTCGAGGGTCTTGTAAAGCAGGTAAGAACCATTAAGTGCTAACTGAAAGATAGAAAGGGTGGAAAAAGGGTGGAAAAGAGGGAACGTTATGATCTAACCTGTCTTTAAAAGTTCACTGACTGCTTTTGGGAGCAAGTTACAGGAAACCAGGAGTGGAGGCAGGAAGACAGATTAGAGGACTGCTGCCACCGCCCAAGTGAGAGAAGGTGGTGCCTGCCCCAGGGGAGTGGCCGTAGGCTGGAGAAAATGCATTCTTTTTCTCTACACCCCCTGTCCACAGTCCTGTATCTATACCCTTCACAACCTGGCTCCTTGAAATACTCAGCTTCATTTTTTAACCCCTCAATATCCTGTATATGTGCTTTCTACCCCCCACCATTCCACCGGAAGTGTCCTCAGGTCCCAGTGACCTCCACCTTCCCCAAGCCAATGCGCACTTTTCTGTCCTTCCTGCTGCATGTGCACGCTCCCCACTCGTCCCTTTCATCCAATTCTCTCCTCCCTCAGCTGCTGGGACTCTCCTCTCACCTGGTTTTCCTTTCCATCTGTTCCTCTTTCTCAATATTCCGATTAATTGCTATTTGACTCTTAAACCTCAGTACTCAGTTTATTTTACTATACAGTCACGAACCCCATGATGACTTTTGGGTCAATGAGGGGCTGCATATACGATGGTGGTCCTATAAGATTACAACAAAGCTGAAAAATTCCTATTGCCTGGTGACGTCGTGTCTGTCTTAATGTCACAGCACATCACATGACTCACGAGTTTGTGGTGGTGCTGGTGTAAACACACCTACTTAGCTACCAACCGTATAAAAGTATGGCACCTACAATTACAGTAGCAGGCTAAACCACCTGGGTTTGTTGAAGTACATTCTATGATGTCCGCACACGATGCAATCCTCTAACCACGCGTTTCTCAGCTGTTATGTGGCACGGGACTACGCATAATCCTTGAAGCTGATCTGACACAGTTTGCTGATAACTCTGAAATGAACAGCTCTGGCCCATCTCCTTACTTAGTGTAAGAATCTCTATATCTAGTTCCACTGGGCCCCTCACTTGGGCATACCACAGACATTTAAAATGCAAAAGGTCCAAAACTCACCTCCTTCGTTCTCTCACTATTGGAATAGTCTCTCAACCAATTTCCCCGCTTCCTATCTCCCCTGCACGCTGCTGCCAAAGCACGTAACAGCCATTCAGGAACTTGGTTGACTACACTGAGTTGAAATCTGCCCATGTCATTTCTCTGCTTAAAGCCTTTCAGTGGCATCCCACTACGTGTGCAAGGCTTTTAGGCCCTTCTCCCCCACTTTCCCTCACAGTCTCCTCTCTGGCCATTCAGTTGTTCTTAGTTCTCTAAATATCAAGCCATTTCAGGCCTCCCATCCTCCACATGTTATTACAGCTCCTTTCTTCATTTAACTAGCACTTCACAGGCAGGCTTAAGTATTACCACTTCAAGGGAGTGTCCCCTTAGCGCCTCATACAAATTTATATGTATGTAATGTGTACATCGCTCAATCACACTGTATGGTGGCTTCGCCAGCCCCCCGTCCCCCCAAAAAAAATTCTAAGCTCCTGGAGGATAAAGACCACCAACCTTATAGGATTGGTAGCACTAGAGTAAATAGTCATAGACAGTTTGGAAATCTTCGGAATTTAAAAAACAGAGGGAAGCTTATGTAGTGGGACTTTTATCACCATTCCAGCATAGCCCAGAGTGGCAGCACTGTACTACAAAAGCAAAATGTGCTTCACGTTGGAAATACGAAGAAAACACACACAAAATGCACATACTTTCAATCGGAAAGATGTAGGAAATTCTGAGGAGCTGTGCAGTAGCTAATAAACCAGACTCTGGATTTTACACTACGGTGGGCAAGGGCTGAACACTCTTTGATGATAATAACAGGTGGAAGGCTTCTCATCTCAATGAAGCCAACGAGCGTCTCAGGGCCATGTTTCTGTAATTTACATGTAAATCACACGCTATTAACGTAACGCGTGATCAACATGTACAAGTAATTTTAGTTCCCGATGTAGCTTCTTCGTCTCTTCTGACAAGTTATTTCCCTTATTTAGGAGACGCCTACCCACCACCTTTGGAAGTCACTCACTTGTCAATCAGTTATTGATTCCCTAAATCTGAAAGGGAGACAGGGGATGGAAGAAGGGAGAAGTGTGGGCGATTGATAAACACTTTCGGAAGAGGCGATGGCAGAAAGCCACAGTCTCGGGGACGGCGAGCGGGGGCCAGGGCAACACCGGGGTGGCGCGCCTACAGCTGGCAAGGAATGGGGAGGCCATCTGGACGAGGGGACACCCGGTCGGAAGGAGGAAGGGGAGGCGGAGAGGGGGCTCGGAGAGACAGCTAGGGAGGGGGGTGGGGAAGTGGGACAGGCAGATACGAGAGGAAACAGGACGCAGTTTTTGGCCACCGATGTGTTTGGGAGAAAGCTGGGGCGAGGAGACAACGCCGACGCTGCCAGCACGGATGGAGCTTTCTGAACAGGATCGCAGGGGGGTCATTGGGAGAAGAGAGAAGGTGCAGGGGTGGGGGTGGGGGGGAACTAGGAGCCCCCAGGACAGAAGCGGCGGAGCGGGCAGGAGAGCCGCGCTCGCGGAGCAGAGGCCGCGGGAGGCGCCGGGGAAGGGCACGGGGCGGCGCGGGGCACTTACTGGGGTCTCTCCGCAGGGCGCCGCTGGGGGTCTCCTGCCGCAGACGAGGGAAGAGGAAGTCCCGGGAGGCCTGGAGGTCCTGGAAGGAGCAGAACTGGACAATGGAGCAGGCCATGGCTCCGAGGCACCCGGCTCGGGCGCTCGCCTTACCTGACCACGCCCTGCCCCCTGCCACCCCGCGGCGGCCCCCGCCGAGCCCCAACAGCTTTATCCCGGCAGGGGCGGGGCTACCAAGCCGGAAGCTGTCAGCGCACGCAGGTCCTCCGCCCCGGAGCCACGGCGCATGCGCAGCACGGCCCAGGTGCCCGGGCCGCGGAGGGCCGAGTCACGTGACCGCCGGCCGGCCTGGGCTCCAGCGTCAACGTGGAGGCTGGGGACCGGCGTTACCCCGGCGCCCGCGCCTCCACCGGGAAGGAAGCGTTTTATTCCTTCTGGCTTTTAGCCAGACATGATCCAGTTGGGTGTTGTCCTCGCCAGCCTTTGAGTCATCTCACCGATCTTGTTGATGCCCTGCTGTTGGCACGAACCTGATGGTTCACAGAGAATCATCCCTCTGAAACTAGTGGCAGGCCGGCGGGAGACAGCATCATGCAAGTGTCGGAGTTGGAAAAGATTCATTTCCTTTCCGGAAATCAGCTCCGTCAAGGCTAGCTTTAAATGCTCCCTCTATAGATTCCCAGAGGGGTTTGCACGCCTAATAGAGGAGGTATTCTGCTGTGTTATACACTCTTACGCTGTCGACATCCGTTTGCTTTCTCATCCATTCATCCATCCACCCATTCGACACATATTTGTTGCTCGTCTTTTCTCTCCCAGACACGTTAAGCGTGGAGTATAAAGCAAAGAACCAAAGAGACTACATTTTAGCTCTCACTCCAGTAGCTGGCACAGGTAGTAAGCAATTAATTAACGCAACCATCTAACTGAAATTGTGATAATGCTAAGGAAGGCAATGCAAAGTGCTATGACATAACAGGCGACCTTACCTCGTTTTTTGTGTGTTTTGTTTTATTGGGTGGGGATGGATGCTTGTCAGGATCAGGTACAGACTTGGTTGTAAACTGGGATATGGGGTCTCATTTAATACCACTTTATATCCATAGTATCCAGCATACGACCAGGCACATAGTGCTTCATAAATATTTGCTGGAGGAATAAATAGAATGGAATGTGTATATAAAGTATATAGAATAACTGATTTCTTTTGCAAAGTATATTTTTAAAAACACAATTCTATACATTGTCCAATTGGATAGTCACAATGTCATCTAAAAAGTTATCTCAATTTTTTAATGAGGAAATTTATCTAAGGGCCTCCTCTGGGAAGAGTCCTGAAATTCATTTAAATTATCTAAAAAATAAAACAGAAAAAGGAAATTTTTTTTATTTTTTTTTAAGATTTTTATTGGGGAATTGGGGGGATGGGAACAGTGCTGGGGAATTGGGGGAAGGGGAACAGACAAGTTGCTGTCGNCTGAAGCAGACTAATTCGAACTGTCTAGAATAATTGGTATCATCAGCGTAAACCCTTGTTCTTACCTTTATTTAGATATATGTTGTAACTGGCCGGTTAGCTCAGTTGGTTAGAGCGTGGTGCTAATAGATATATGTTTTCCCTGAATGAATAAAACCAATGACTTCAGAATAAAAAATGTAACTACAACTCGCTCTGCAAAGAATTTTTTCCCTGAAGAGAGATTAGATTATACCCATATAAAAACCTGTTTAGTCTCTCACTTGATAAATGATATAGTCATTGAAGCCTTCAAGCCATTGAGAAAACACATTTTAATTGAACCATCAAAAAATTACAGATGTCTTTTATAGGAATATTTCCAATGAATGTATTAGTCTACCAACAAAAGCTTAAGTAAGACATTCGGCTTCGACTTTCCATAGCTCTATTTCATTCCAAAAATACATTATTTTGATTTGCTTCCGCACAGTCTGTCCTCATAAACTGAGTATATGTTTTTCATTTAACAAGAACCTGGAGCTAGAAAGGAAATTGAATTCTAGAAGTGGGCAATTAATTTGACAGTATTTGCTTTTTCCAATATGAGTATGTCAAGATCAAAAACTAAATGAGAAACTGAAATCATTAAATGTTAGGAAAGGGAAAACTTAATCTCCATGGTCTAATAAAAGATCATATTAGCACAGAAGCAAATTCATTTCAGTTCTTTCGAGACAAGAAAAAAAGAGATAATGTACTTGTTTCTATAAAGAGGAAGAACCTCTGGAAGCTATGACTTGTAAGTGATTCAGGGGGCTCGACAACATGTGGTTGGGTCTTCTTGGCCATGACAAGAAAAGCATCACTACAAGGTAAAAAAAAAAAAAAAGACTAAATAATAGAGAAACTGCTCCTTAATTTCCTATGCCGCAGACTTATTAGTCTTTTTCTATTTCTGGGAAAATGCAGATAAGAAAATAAAGTTCATATTAGCACACTCATTTCAGCACATTAAAAAAATGTATTATAGCAATCTAAAATGAAGAGGCCATCCCATTTTCAACAAGCATGGGTTTAGTTCTTTCCAATCACTATGATTAAATCAAACTAGATCTTTAAGGTCCCTCTCAGTTCTAGAATTCTAATGATTCCTGATTTCAGTAAGTGACCTTGTATATCGCATAAGAAAATGTTCTGATAATCAATTCACAAAATGATGGCACTGAAAACAACTTAAAGCAGAACTAGAATGTGTCCTCCTGCTGTAAAACGTTTATTAAAGTAAACATGCTCCTCCTTTGACCCCAAACCTAAGAAAACTTTAGACCCACCTTCACAAATGCAACAACCAAAAAATCTATAGACTTCAAGAAGTTTAATATGCCTTATTCCTGATACTCCTTTCTATTCATTTGATCTTGACAAAGGAAGTCACTAAGGGCAATAACATATTATGTATATTGGAAAGAACTTAACATCTTTTGTAATTGTTTCCTACAACTTCATACTTACATTATGATTTATTATATCCAAAACAGCAGAAAAAGACAAGCATGGCTAATAAGGCGAGGGGAGGATGTGCCACTAGGAAGTGTGGGTGAAGATAAGTAAATACTGTTAGGTTAAGNGAAAGCACATTGCAGAAAATGTACAGGCTTTTCATATCCCAGCATAGTCTCTCTCTCTCTCTCTCTCTCTCTCTCTCTCTCTCTCTCTCTCTCTCCCCCCCTTCCCCCCCCCTCAGTATGAGTTCAGGAGCTAGGAAAAGCCATGTGACCAATATAATCACAGTAGGGTACCAATGTGAACTCTGTCCAGCATCCATTATGGGGAGTTCCAGCACTGATAACTGTTGTGAAGAGAAAGATGCTTATTGAGCATCATTAGCTGCAGGTCCTTGCCCACCTTTAACAGCAGCCTGAGGCTGAAGGTGTTGAGATGCAGGATGAACAGGAAAGTGTGAAAGAAAGAGCAATGGACTTGGAGCCAGGAGACCTGAGGTCTGTCTCAGCTAGGCCACAAATAAGTCACACGAACTCGAGCAATTCAAGTCACCTTCCCGGGCCTTAGTTTCTTGATCTAGAAAATGAAGAGACTGGACTCTGAAGTCCATCTCAGGGATGTGTAGGTTTTGGTAAGAAGCTGAGAAGAAAAAGGTCTGGGAGTTGAGGTTGCTCCAAAGGAGTAGTCTATGTAGTCTGTTTTCTGGGTGCTCATGAGGTACCAGGAATGGCTGAAAGCCCTATGAACATATATGCAAATAAGACCCAATACTGGAAGAGGTGATGAGTTACCAAGACACAAACAGGTAAGAATTTCACAGGGGCACAGAGAAGAGACAAATACCAGTCTTGGGATTCAGAAAAGGCTTTTTGGAGGTAACATCTGAGCTGACTCCTGAAAGCATCGTAGATTTTTAGCTGGCTGATGATGGTAGAAGGGGGAGGGGAGAAAGTAACCCAGGCAAAAGAAACATCACACAATGCTTGCGCATAGCAATAACTCGTGTGTACAGAGAAACACAAGCAGCTATTTCTAGAATGTAAAATGTGACACAGTGGTCGGGGGTGAGTCCAGAGACACGGCCTGAGTGATTTTAAACTTCCTCATATTCCATCTCCTCCAGAAATGAAGGACCCATTCCCATTTCTTAGTTTGCATAAAGGTGAGAAAAATCTCCTTTTTTGTTCATTTTCTGCATTCATACCACTGTCCACAGCTAGCTTGCAGTCTAAAGGGCTGCAGCGAGGGGACAAGGTTTCAGCAGATTGGGGGTGTTGATTCCGCCCAGCTCCACATGACATGCTTGACAATTTCCACGCGAGGCTAGATTTGTGTTGAATGTTGGCTTTCTGTTCCTGCTCGGCAACACTGTCACAAATGAATAGATTGGGAGCTTTGCTTTACGTGTTCAGAGGAGTATTTCCTTTCGCTGGCCCTCTAATTTCTGCTGTTTACATTGGCATTAGCTAATCAAGTGTTTCATGCATCTCAATGTGGTTTCTTTCCAGTAGGTAGTAGTCAAGGATAATAGTCCTGCTAGCAGCCACTGCCTTAATTTATGTTTGACACTTGCATTTTTTAATCTTTTTACAAATACGTTTCTTCCCACGGTCCTAATTAGTGGAATCCTTTGTTTGTGGCCACACTCCATTCTTTTCCTTCTTGCACCGATAGGCACCTGGAAGGTTAGACCATTCAGGACTATAGACCTGCACAGAGGTTTGCTGGAACATTCTAAAGTAGTTAACTACTGAGCTATGTGACTCTTCTCTATCCAGAAGTTTTTTAAATCCTTCAAAACTCAGCTCAAATATTACCTCCTTGAAGAAGGACCTGACTTCTCCAGGCAAAATTAGGCACTTTGGATCGATCACATAGCTTTTTACTATGTATAAATTTTTAAACTTAGCACCTTGTGTTATGGTTTATGTTTGCATATCTGTCTCCCCCACTAGGTGGTGATGTCCTCAAGGGCAGAGATTATGACCTGGTTACCTTAGTGACATTTATTCTTTCATTCATTCAATACATTTTTTAAAAACCTACTACGTACCAGGAGCTACACATATACAGGACTCATACCCAATACACAAAAGAAACATATCTGTATGAATAGATAAATGACACACAGAGATAAATAGGCAATTCTAACTCCATTTTGAAAGTGCGATGTTGGGAACAGAACAAGGGAGCTCATAAGAAGGGCACGTCACTTCCTGGAGGGCTTCCTGGAGGAAATATCATCAGAAGCTGAAATTAGGAGGACTGAGTAGATGTTAGTCAGATATAACCCAAATGGAGGGTAGAATGGGACCAGGAAGGGCAAAGCATTCTCAGACATAGAGAAAACAGCTCGAAAGCTCAGAGATGAGAGGACATAGTGTATTCAGACAGTTGAATACCCTTCAGCCTGTCTAGAGCTCAAAGAAAAGTGTTAAGATGAGGCTGAAGAGGAAAGGAGAGGCAGTCACAAAACGACTCAAGGGCAGGTACGATGGCTTATTCATCTTGTTTCTTTCTCCGGTGCCTAGCAAAGTACTTGACAAACAGGTAGCTGGCTAACAAATGTTTGTGGAAGGGAGGAAAGAAGAAAAGAGGGATGTATATAAATGACATGAAATGCAGATTCTGCCTATCCTCAGGGCCATGGGACAGACAAGACATCGCTGTCAAATTAGGTAAATCCAGGGGCCAGCTGAGTGGCTCAGTTAGTTAAGAGCAAGAACTCTGAGCAACAGGGTTGCCAAGCTGAGCTGCCTCTGAGCTGCCAACAGGTGGCAGGATGGCTCAGCTGGTGAGAGCACGTGCTCCTAACAACAAGGTTGCCTGTTCGACTCCCGCATGGGATGGTGGGCTATGCCCACCTGCTACTAACATTGAACATGGCACCTTGAGCTGAGTGGCCGCGAGCTGTTGACAGGTGGCTGGATGGCGACTCAATTTGAAGCTGAGCTAGCTGCACCTTCCACAACTAAGACTGAAGGACAACAACTTGGCTGTTCCCCTTCCCCAATAAAAAATATAAAATAGGTAAATTCAAACAGTTCCCATTTGATTAAATACCAGAAGAGACTGGTACAGGCAAATATGCTGAGGTCTGGAGAGACTGCTGCGATCAGGTGTTGTCAGGGAAACCAACATCAAGGAGATGGGACCTGAACTTTGTCTG